AAAAAAAAAAACATTAGAATAAAAACAGGGCATAAGGACGGGTCTTCTTCCTCTCTGCAACCGCGACCCTTTCACGCAACTCCGATTTCTGTCGCCCCGACCGTAGCTTCGACCACCGTCGTCTCTCACCGGCGGGATCCCGGCTACCCTCTTCTCACCACCTTTCTCTGCCACTTGTCCTTTCTCGTGCTATCTCACAAGCTTGCAATCGCCAACCCTAGGTCCGATTTTCCGGCACTCGATCTCTCAGCGGTTTCACTTCCGGCCAGCAAGCATCTCCGAGCTCCGGCTATCCCTCGGCTCTATTCACCGCCCGCTTTTCATCTCCGGCCAGCTTCAACGGCGTCTCGGTACCTTTGTCTTCTTCTAGCTCTATCTTCACATGTTCGGAAATTCAAGACCAGTAGTAAAAATTCGTGCTAATTGTGAAGTATTGAACTTGGTTGCGTTGATTGTTGAACACTTTGTTTGAGGAAAAGGGGTCTACCATTGTTGTCTTCTCCAAAGCTTTCAGTTTCAACTTGGTGCCTTCAAGGTGTTTGATAAATTGCCTAAGTGAGATTCTTCAACAATATGGTCACCAAACGCAACAAACGGAAGTCTACGCAAGGTGAATCATCTTCCCAAGCCGAGCCGGTTGACATTCGGGCACAGTACAATGCCCCCTTCACCATCCTCGACGAACGAGAGGGGGAAATCTACTCCCGGCTTGCCAAGAAGGAGGTCCTCAAGTCAAAGACGTTCGACTTCACTTTGCTTTCCGACTTGGGTATCTTGGCGACGGTCGAGCAGTACTTGGCCACGCTACGCTTGCAGTCGTATGCCTGCTTGGTCCACCCGACATACCGGAACACGCTCGAGTTTTTCACTACACTTGAGTTCCGGAAGGATACTAATCAGGCCGAGTATATGACATGTCGTTTGCTTGGGACGAAGAGGCTCATCACGGACGCGATCATGGAAGATGTCGTGGGCCTCCAAAGCGGCGACGCTAGGATGAATGAAGGCATGTCTATTGCTCGCTTCTGGCCCACACTTTCCCCTGACACGGTGTGGGACTCTCAGGACATGGCTAATGGCCTCATCAAGGACGGTGCTGTCGCTGTGATGCACAAATTCTTGTGCTACGGTGTATTCGGGAAGAAGGAAGCCAACAAGGTCACTGGACTTGATCTTGCCCTGCTGTGGTTTATGCTCGAGGGGAGGCGCCGTGATATGTTGGATATATTTAAGGACGAGTGTCGGGCCGTCCTTCGGAACAAGAGAGCGGCAGCCTGCTTTGGCCATATAGTGACCGCTCTGGCTCTGCACTTCCACGTTGACCCAGTGGCGTCTGGCAGCCCTCCTACTAGTATGTGGTTCATTGATGCTTACGAGCTCACTCACTCGGGCCTCATCTGTGATCGCCACACCTTCGAGGATTATACGAGGCGACCGGCCTACACCGCCTACATTAAGAAAGTGAGTGCAGCCGCTTCCACAGCCCGGGCCTGCCGAGCCTGCCAAGGAGCGCCTAGGTCCGCCTATGTCCGCCTAGGCGCCACCAAGCCGCCAAGTCCTCCTAGGGCTGCCTAGGCGCCTGGCCGATATTTTCTGCTAATTTGTTCAAATCGAAGGCGGCCGCCCAGGCCGATTTTTAGAATTGTGATATTTTTTTAATTAATAAAAAAAAAATCAATTTTCAAGCTACTTCAATATACACACCTCAATTTTGATTTTCTTTTTCTGGGTTTACATTTTTATTAGCAAAGATCTAACAAGTTCTTCTTCACATCTCCTTCTAATTCTGCCATAGCAAATCACTTCATGGGGCGACAAAAAAAAAAAAGCTTTACAAACGTGCAGGATAAGAATGTATGAGAAGCTTCTCGGTTTGGTGCAACAAAATTCTTTTATGTAAAACATTTACAATAAAAATAAACAAACAATAAAATTACCATTATCAGTCGTCTCTTCAAAAGTCCCGTGCTTTATACCCAAGCCCAGAAAATCCCTCTCCATCCTCAATCCCACAAATATCCAAGAAAAAAAGGTGAAAAAAATCGAATATTTGTTCGGTACGGGTAAAAAAAGGTGAATTCTTTGAGAAGCGAACAACAGAAATCCAACTATGTAGCAGTTTTTTCCTTCAATAAGCATATAATATGAGACCCTGAAAAGTGAAAAAGGAGACCCAGCAAGTACTCAGGAAAAAAAGGGTTAAAAATTGAATCTTTATGCCCAAGGGCAAGAAAAAAAAAAAATCAAGTCTTTGAGAAGCGAACAACAGAAATCCAACTATGTAGCAGTTTTTTCCTTCAATAAGCATATAATAGGAGACCCTGAAAAGAGAAAAAGGAGACCCAGCAAGTACTAAGGAAAAAAGGGTTAAAAATTGAATCTCTATGCCGAAGGGCAAGAAAAAAAAAAAAAAATCAAGTCTTTGAGAAGCGAACAACAGAAATTCAACTATCAAATGCATGTAAATAGAGACCCAGAACAGAGAAAAAAAAAAAGGAGGAGAACATGAAATAAAAACCTGGATTGTTAGCAAAACAGGCCCAGCCTCGACTATTGAATATTTTTTATGGTTTGCTCGTGAATGATAGAGAGAGAAAGAGAGAAATGGGGAGAGAGAAATGGGATTTGAACAATTATAATTATATTTATATTTATATTTATACTAGTATAATACCCGTGTATTACACGGGTGCTTGCTAATTTTTTTCTTAAAATTTAAAATTAATGAGAAAAAGTAGTTTGAAAATTTAAATACCTTTTATAAGAATATATATATTATATATTTATTATGATACTTTTTATTTGTGCGACTTACTTGTGTTATATTATACTAATTCTTTAACTTACACTATATAACTACATTAAATATAAATATAACAATTGAGAAATAAATTTATTTTTCTAATGAATTTTAATAAATATTAATATTTTTTATTATTATAAAGATAAATATAATTTATTTATTTTATATATACAATATGGATGTCAAATCGAAGATCATCAAAAGATGATTAATTTGATATATTATATATGTAAAACCGATAAGAAATACAAAAGTTATATACTTTTAAAATACATTTATAATTCAATAGTTTATTGAAGGAAGCAAATCAAAATTTAGGGATATATTAGTCACTTAGTTTATAATTCAATAGTTTATTTATAATTCCAGAGCCGGACCGCCGAGCGCCCCGATCCCCACATCATCATCAGCAGCATCCGGCTGCGTCGTCTGCACCGCCCGCCTGGTGGTCCCAGCCTCCTCCATGGTGGGCAGAGTTCGAGGAGCGTTACGACAGAGATATGCGGGGCTTTGACGCACGCTTTCAGGCTCTTGAGGCCCGATGGGATGCTCAGTATGGTCCCGGCGCTGGCCAGCCCTATCCACCTCCTCAATCGCCTCCTCCCGATTCACAGTGACTTGTCACTGTGTTGGTCAGCTTTTATTTTCTTTTCT